CCCACCTCTCACAATGGAAAAGTGTGGGCAATAAATCACTTGCTACCACAGTCCACTGCACACGTAATCCCCTTTCAAGGCCAATCATGATTACATGACCATGAAAGGGGGTGTGCCCAGTGGACTGTGGCCACAAATGCTGTAAGAAAGGGAGATAATCAATCAGTGAGTAACGATGAAGTCAATACAGTAGAGGATAAACTTAGTTGACACATTTCAAATAAGGGGAAAAAATGAAAGTTAAAAATGGTAATTTCATGATTGAAAAACACAAACAGATTTCCTTATCACGTGAGAGGATAAGCATTTCCCGGAAAAGTTATAATCTTAAGGAGCTGTTCCTTTATACAAAATTGCACATTCAAATATACCATTCATTGAAAGAACTGGAATTCCTTAGGGATTGATAAACCCTTACATTGTATATATGAAAATGGTTTCAATATCCTGTACCTTTGCCACATCTTGAAAATTAAACTGAAAATGTAGTCAGAAATTCAACATTGTTTCCCATATTTTGAACAGACACTCCTTACCTTCCCTGACACTGAACCTGGATAGTAATCCAAAAACACTTGTATCCATTATGAAGGATACACTCAGACTGGGCTATTGAGAATCTTACCTGGTTATGATAAGTACTCACTCACATAGGTACATGTAAATTATCTGCAGTGTAGGGTAGGTAAAAAGATTGTCCAGGTGAACACTTTTTCCTCAACTTTTCTGTTTTGTTCGAGTTGGGAAGCATGCAGTAAGCCAGTTATTGCATGATTTCTCGTCACTCGGGACTTATTACACCCTCGCTTCGCTCGGGGGTAATAAATCCCTTGTTACTCGAAAACCATGCAATAACCTTTACAAGCAAATCTAGTAATCCATACTGTTTTTCAAATTTGTCCAAACCCGTTTTGCAATAAAAGAACATTAATTCATTGTATATGTACTACATAATATATATGGTTTCATTGTCAGCCTGTGTTGTAACAGTATCGTATAATTGATTTTCCCAATTGATAACAAATACCCCAATGTAAAATTGACTGTGGAAATATGATAATATTATATCTGCTATCATAATTTTGTCTATTCATCATACATAATCAATATTTGTTACAACAGAATTGACAAAAGCTTAAACAAAATGTTTACATTACTGCATTAAATTTGCTGACACTCCCTGTTTGATGTTGCCTGGGCATCTCTTTTTTTTGAATTTCTATCACTCTTATGGCCAGAAGAGTGAATACCATTTAGGAATCCATCAGATGGGGTAAGCAGACCTCAACTGAACATCCACTAGCGGGCGTTCGATCTCATTTTCTCTTGTAAAATATTTACCTGCACATGTAACAATAGCATTATGTTTGGCCTGTATAGCTGAGTGCATCAGTTTGGCCTTAATGCCAAACATTTGTTCTGTGTTTCAGGTTTCTCTTAACTTCCTAACCTCGAGATTTTTTTATTTCTTCCCTGAATTTAAACAAGCACTATATTAAGGTCTTAAAAATTGTCTCTATAAAACTTATATGAAAATCTTTTCAATAATAAAAACTTTTTCCTGTCTACCTTTGCCAGTTTTTTGTGGAAACACAACAAATATTGTGTTTGGCCAAATTTTAATATAAATGTGTCGTGTTTGTTCTACTGTATCTAAATTATGCAGTAACGGTATGTTTTATCACAATTGACTAAAATGTGTATAATATGTACATGTATATGAATAAGTGTGGTACCCTTCCAGCCCAAATTATGTTTATTACCCATTACATAAGAATGTGTTTACCTATGAAGTGGTCTTACCTTTCTATATACCGAGTAACAGGTATAATTTATATACATACTGTTGATATATATATATATAACCTCAATAGTCTAAATTGTATTTATGTTTGGTTTGTATTTGATTTTATGGCACAAAATGTCAAGGCTATCAAATATGCTGGCAAGAAGCCATTCCATCCAAATACATGTTTTGAATGGAATGGCATTATGATCCAATTTAATTGAAGAATACAAACAAAGAGAGCTAGATGGACGTCTAGCTTATACATTGAACACTATTATAAGCTAAGAAGTGATAGTGACACGAAAGCTAGACACTGGATGTCAAATTTTCAAGGCAATCTCCCTTTTGTCATGCCACTAGCATGAGTAATCTATCTATCATTAATATACATGTGAATATTTATGTATTTATGCAGAAGCAGATTAGTACCCTTGGGGGAGTAAAGAACGGTCAACCTACCTAGGCTGTACATGTGGATGCATGTCTTTGAGGCTGAAGACATAGAAAAGGGACCGGGGGTAGGGGGTAGTGTAAAAATAGGTGCATTAATTGTCATGGATGTATACAGGCCTATTTTTTTTAACGAATATGGGTTAATTGCCCTCTCCAATTTTGGCATTATTTTCCCCCTATTTCAGCTTCATTTCCCTCTATTTCAGTTAAAAATCCCCCCACTTCTAACCAAAATACTACCACATGAATATCTGTCTTGGTTCATTATTGTTTTTATTTTCCATCAGTTTGACGACCGAGCAATTTATTTCAATTTCCCTGTGTTCGTGTTGTAATACAATATTATAACAGTCACAACAAGCACTTTAATTCATATCTGGTGGGGGATTATAACTAGAAGCGTCCATAATAAACAGAGATGAACAAAAATTAAAGATATCATCCATGCCTCCCTCCATATTTTCCCCTATTTGAAAAAAAGCTACTAACTTTCTACTCTTGAATTAAACCCTAATTGTAAATTGTGTCAAAGTGACCTTACTAGCTTTGATAGAAAAGTCTGGGATTACATATTCTTTTCACTACTTCCCTTGTATCACATAAATGTACATGTGTTCCTCTAGTACTAATATTAATACCCGGGCTCCTCTGCCGCAGCCGGGTTTTAAATCAATCCCATGTCTTGTAATGGAACAAGCCCCGGTGTGAACCACAAAAGGGCGATTTTAGCATTAATTGACAGCATGTGGGTCAGCATCCATACCCTGGTTTGTAATATTAACCATTTCCGTTGATCTCCTATGTACGTAACTTGAAGTTAAACCCTGCCAACTGTAATGGAGCTAGCCCCTGTGTGAACCACAAAAGGGCGATTTTAGCATTAATTGACAGCATGTGGGTCAGCATCCATACCCTTGTTTGTAATATTAACCATTTCTGTTGATCTCCTATGTACGTAACTTGAAGTTAAACCCTGCCAAGAATGACGTTAAATGATCAAGTTTACATAGCGAGGACAATCAAAAGGGCAATCAAAATCTGATTTGACCGCCATGATGGACACTTCGTCTCTCTTCCGATATAGGGCAGACATCTATATATATATGGGTGCCATGACCAAATATGGAATTCGTAGTTAACATGGTGGCATCAGTAGTAATACTATAATTGGCCCCAACCCATGCAAGCCATATTTACAAACGGATAATTTAGATAACATCACAATCTGCCAATTGGCGGTCGTTTCTTTTTTCTCTCCCCAAGACGGACTTTGCTAATTTCGTTATTTTATTTTGTTAGTAATTTTAGTAAGGCATTTTCTTTTAAGAATCATGCATAAGCTATGTTGTCGCAGCTAGTGTTTCTCCAGCAAGATGGAAGCCAAAATAATATTTGCAATATTTACAAACTACATTTGGAATACATTTTTTTTTTTTTCAAAGTGATTTCCCCACTCAAGCAGTATTTTTTTTCTTAAAACCTGTCTTAAATTGAATATCACCTACTCGGTAACAGTTTCACGTTTTAGCATAGGTCATTCAACTGGATTTTTCACAATATTTACACATGTGCTGAGTACAAAAATAGACTACACGAAAAGTTAGCTTTTGTTGTGTAGACACAGATTTGTAAATGGCCAAAAATGTAGTTTCAAACCAAATTCGTTTTTTTTTTTTTTTTAAATGTGAAGCCCACATAGTCCTCCACTTCATCATGTATATACGCCAATTTCAGTGCTGGTTTGTTTCTTTAACTTTGATACGTGTAATATTACATGGGTTATTCATTGTACATAGATATCACCCATGGCCACCGTACGCTTCTGTACACTGCTACATTAAAATAATAATACAACTTTTCCCTTCTTATACCTCTTCTTTTCCGAAATTTGAACACTTTAACTGTGTTGAAGACTCTGGTGATGTTATTTAAATCACATCTTATTTATTATGACATAATATGTCATTTTCGTCATAGGGATCGAGAATTTGGGTGCATTGCAAATTTGCCTGCACTAACGTTGGTAATTATATATAATACACAACAGTAACCACAATTATGATATGTATGTGGCAGGTTTTAATTGTAAATAGGATTACGGTCCAGCTAGAGGGAAATTTCTCTTTAGCTCAGTGGTAGAGCGTCGGACTAGGAACCTGGAGATGGAGGATTCGATCCCCGGTGGCAGCACACTATTCTCTTTTTCTGTTAAAAATGGTGTCCGTTGCCCTCCCTGTGGTGACAAGGAGTTATAACCTGGGTTGTGGTGTTCGAGGGCGAACACATTTAAAAAGGGGGGAGTAGTGTGGCAGGTTTTAACTGTACATAGGATTAAGGTCGCTTTCTTGCTTTGAACTAGAGGGAATTTCCCTTTAGCTCAGTGGTAGAGCTCCGACAAGGAATCTGGAGATCTAGGGTCCGATCCCCGGTGGAAGCACACTATTCTCTTACAAGTTTCAACCACTATTTATGAAATTGCTAAAGATAGCAAGTGAGAAAAGGATACATTTTATTATTCCATCAAGGTCGTCGCAAATACCTGAGATCAGACTCTGAATTAGTAGATGTGTTCTATATAACGGGTTACCTGCCGGTATAGGACAGGTGTGTTGCACAGGTGGGAACTCGTGTTCGCATTATAGCGTTCACATAATTTAACTCTAAACCAAGTAGTGACGCACTTCGGAAACTGTTTTTAAGTTCAGATTATGACATCAACATTTGAAAAAAACATGCCACTAATGGTAAACAAACTTACGTGTTCCTGAAGCGTCCGGCAAGAATGTTCACCGATAATGTGAACCAATCGATATTGTTTATTATTTTGTTCCCAGGGTGTGCCGCTTATGTTGTTGAAAAAGAAAATAACTCGCTGTTGCTTATATCCTTGCAAAATATATAGAATATAGTCTGCTTCATAAAACTGGTAACAATGTGCTGCATTAACCAAGAACATTATCAACATACTTATTCAGTTCAATTTTTGTTTTCTATTTGCAATTAAGCATGTAGATCAGTGTGTATTTTCAAAATTGCCCGAGTCAGTTAACGTTCCTTTTTAGAAGGAAAGAAATTACATAAATTATTATATATATCGTTTTATCTAACGGGCCTTTCATCCTTATAACTACCAGCCATTTTCACAGAATTCATGTTATGGTCCATCATACTGAAATGTCTGAAAAAATAAATTTGGTTAAATTAAATCAATCCAGATATTAGTAATTGACCAAAGACAACACTATTTGAAACCAACGTTCGAGTATGGCCGTGCCAAGCGCACACACACAGCGCATTAAACAAGGTTTGTTTGCAGTCAACGCTGTAACAGGAGAGGTCAGATGCAATGGGGTCAAACTGGAATTCGAACCCAGGGCCCGTATTCATGAAACCGTTATCATGCTCATGCAAGGATTCTGTGTTCAACCCAGCTTTTTTTGTCACTCAAATCATGTGGAACGTTCAAAATATCAGTTTAAGAATTGAAAACGATATTCGGCTTAAAAAATCTTCAAAACCGTTGACAAAATCTGATTTTCCATTAGTTTATCGAAGGACCTAAAAAGTTGGTTTAAGCACAGAACCTGCGTTTAAGTATGAGACAGTTTTAGTGAATACTACCCATAGGGCCTCCGAACTCTTGACAGACGGGCGGTAGAACGAACCAAGGACGTGTTCGTTAATGCGGAACAACCGATTCGGCTGTTCTTGAATGTTACATTTTCTGTCAAAAGTTTATGCATGCCCTGTAAGGCTTTGTGAAAACAACATTGGATTACTAGGGTCGACCTTATTTCATAAACGATCAACTCTGGTCGAACCGGTTCAAGCGTTTTGATCGCGATAAACGAAAGCGGTCCGGATAACGAGCTTTCTGGTCAAAGGTAGTTATCGTTGTAAAAATGATGTCGAAAGTTTACACAAACAATTGAATATGAAAAGAATTTGTATATTTTTTCAAAGATACATATAAACATATAAATATAAATTATATACAAAAATTTCAAAAAGTCATTAATAATAATGTAGAATTGTAGGCAAAATATATATATCTTCCAAAATATATATATAAAAAGTCAAACAAGGTTGAAAATAATCAGTATGTTAATGTAAAATATAAGTTATGTACTAGCACTTCATTTGCTAAAAGCGTTTTGATGCTCTGTATGTTTGCTTAGGAAAATGGCTAAATGGCTATTTGATTCCTATTGAAGAGGTTTTAACACATTTAACTGTTAAGTAAGTGACGCCTCAATCCCCCAACCCCTTTTGCAACGCGTATTGTTAATATACGACCAGACACATAGACCGGAAAATGTGTATCTCTTCAATGTTGGAAATGTTTGCCAGACCGAAAAACAACGGTGTATTGTCATCAATTTGAAGGAATCCATCTCTTTAGTAACTTGCGTCTGAAACCAACGAATATTTCGATTGTTCGAGTTTGGTATCTGACATCACAGGACTGTCAATGCTGAACTTTGCGTCAGGGTCGAACGACTTCCCTTGCATTTGCTGATAGAGTTTCTTAACACGACTTGGCTTGACGTGATATCTAGCGGAAGGGACCTTGGTTCCGCGGTTCGCTATCTTTTTCACCGCCATGGCAATAGCGGGAACTACTGTGTCCTTCCGCTTCACACCGCGGAATTTGTCACGTAGATTCGCTCCGTACTTCCGGATTTTCATGTCGTCTGACAGTGAGTACTGGTCAACGGGTGCTAACTCGACGAAAGGCATTGAATGGAAAACGGCCATCTACAACACATTACACATCACATGTACTTAGCATATTTACTATATATATATTCAAACTGTATAGTTAAGAAAACACCATTTGCTGCAACACTACATTAAAAGTTATCTATTACTGACTTAGGAATTTCATGCAATCCCATCGGCTGAAAACTGCTTTGCTGACCTAAAATTATGCTTTGTTGACCTTGATATATAACTTTAATAATGAAATATCCATCGGTATGGTCTCCAGCGACGATACATACAATCTTCCTTGTGTTGATGAATCAATTTATTAAATCCCTGGTTAATCTAATTCTAGTAAAGCCAGATCTCAACGGGGGTAAATAGTTCTATACTGTAACTTCTGACATAAAATTATGTGCCATTTCATTTCTTTGCATAATCATTCGTGTAAATACATTATAAAAGATAGATTTAAATTTAAACGAAAAGCATAGCCTACTAACCGATACAGACGTTTCAATCATTTTGGGAAGAGACGGCGGAAGCTTATGACGTATTTTCCGCTTGTATGATTGGCCGAGTATGGCACTTGAGTTCAGCTTCTTTTCCATCAAATCGTCTTGGAATTGCACTTCCTCTTGGACAGCCTCTTGTTCTACCTGCGTTTCTACTCTAGGGATGCCAACTTTCTTCATTTTCGCTAGAAGATTCTTCCATTTCGGTGCTTTGCTTTGGTTCAATACTTTTAGTGTTCTCGCAGATCCAATTCGCTTCAAATCTCTCGGTATCCGAGCATCTTCATCGAACTTCTTTGGCTTATAAGGTGGTTTGATCGGGTCCCACCTTTCTCCAAAGGTTCCTATGTATTGGCCACCAAGTGTCCACAGTCGAATTGAACAGTCGGCACTGCAGGTACAGACAAACTTAAATTCGTCAATGAAGACGATACTATTAACTACTTTTGTATGGACTTTAAAAGAGTTCACAAGTAAAGGCCATTGTATGGTCCTCCTTGGGTTACTGTTCAATGGTGGCGGTCGATTAAGGATTCCGTCTGGCCTGGGATCTTTAGTGTTAAAGCTAAGCGGGGGTTCTCGCGAATCATGTCCATCTACCAACATAAACATGAAGATTTCAAATAACTCTTTCCATCGTGTCGCTCGCTTGCTGCTGGTGTGTTTCTCTCTGATGCAGTATTCTGTGATGTCCCAAGTTTTTAGATACCCTGCCGTGTCTGCAGTGAACAAATATTTGTTTTCTGAATCGGATGCAATAGCATGGACGCCCTCGCCGACTTTGTGTGAAGCATTGAACTGGCCCAAGAGACCTCCTTCATGATGCATTGACCAGGCTCTTACCCAGCCCTCTGCACCACTGGTAAAAAGAACAGCAGTTTGTTTATCCAAGTTATCTCGATTTTCTAAGAAAATCATTTTTTCTACAGACGCCTCGTAATTTTTACAGATTTCATCGTAACCATGTCGGCTGCTCGGCTGCTCAGAGGTCGGTGTTGGAGTGTAGACTTGCTCATCAAACAGAGGCATAAGAGGATGCTCACATGGTGTCTCCATCCTACAGAATTGTTTCGAAAGTCTGCTCCCATTTCGACTATTAGTTTCGCGTACCTTGCTTAGAAGTCCAACTCCCACTCTGATACCTTTCAAAGAGCTTCGTTTACTCGATTTCATTTTTCCAGCAGCATCATCTAATGCCATTACATCTTCCTCTATCAGTGAATATCTTCTCTCGTCCTCTTCGTCCTTCATTGACTTGAATTTCGTATTGTTTTCCGTGGAAGGTTTTGTGCCCTTGAATGCATTCAGCGTGCAGTAGGCTTGGCCAGTGTCCCTTGACCATATGACGATGTCCCCGTCATAAGAACCTGTCGCAATGATGTTTGGTCCCATGTATGACATGCAGATGATGTCCTCGTTGTGTTTGGCCTTCCACTCTTTCCGGTATTCCTCTCCACCCCCATCCAAGTATATGTGCACGGTGCGACTCCATCCGGTGACGTAGATCCGATGTCGCGTGCTCACAAGACCTGTCACATCCAGGCCGCCGGGAGTGTTGAATGTTTGTAGGCACGCACCGTTGTTGAAGTTCCAGACTTTAACGCTGCCGTCTCGCGCACCCGTGATAAGGCGTCTTTCTGGTCCGTCAAACGTGATTGCTGAAATTTCGACAGGTATGTCCACACCTCCTTCAGTGTGTGTATGGGCATTTATAAATTGCATGACCTTTTCACCATTCCGCACGTCCCAAACACTGACAACTGAATCATAACAGGCGCTGACAACGAATCGGAAGGTCTTGTTGTAGAGCGCTGCGAAGATTGGCTTATTGTGGGATGTGACTTCTATTGTGTTCTCCTCCTCAAAATGCTTCTCCAGAAACGCTAACTGGTTCGTACCCAGTACCAATGTCTGCGTTCCGGGGTTAAAGCAGACGGTGGAAATCGGGAAGGGACCTAGCTTTATCACGCGTCCACTGAGTTGTTGGATACAAGTTTGGTCCTTCATGTCGAAAACACGGATGCTTTTTCCCTTGTCAATACTGATAATTTGGTTCTTGGAAGAGTTGATGATTATATGGGTTATTGGTTTGGAGTGTCCCTTTAATACGACAATAGCCTTGCTATTGACATACGGATTCCACACCCGCACAAGATAATCCATCCCGCCAGTGACTATTATGTTGTTGTATTGACAATAATCAAAGCTTAGAATGCCTTTGCTTACCTTGAACACCGTGGAAATCTTTTTCTTTTCTATGTCTGCCAGGTATAATGAATTGTTCGTGCTCTGGCAACATGACACTACACAATCCAATTCTGGAATATAACCAATCTGAGATACCCAGTCATCATGAACCCTGCTAAATTTGTATGCTTTAGCACCAATGAAAAATCCTCGAACGACTTCCGGCAAATTCACTTTCTTGTATGCGTCTTTGCTACCAACTGCTCCGAACGGCCCCCCGCGCAGCGATGAGTCAAACTTGATGGCAAACGTGTTACCATCTGTATCGCCCCACAAAAGAACGGCATAATTCATGTCCCGCAGGTTAGCCCAGAAGTACATTGTCGTTATGCAATTCTCAATACCGACTATATGATAACGTTTGATGAATTTATTGGCCTGAAGGTCGAAAATGATGATATCCCTGTCAGTGGATGTGACTGCTAACATGTTGACATTATACATGCATGCCATATCCGTCAGCCAAGGCTGGGTGGCGCGGTCCAAACTAGAATGAGTATTGAAACTTCGGATGCGTTTCATCTTTAAAGTCCAAAATATGAGGGTGCCTTCCTTACTGAGAGTAACATATCTACCGTTAGAATAGTCCAGTTTAGCTAGGGGCACAGTACGTTTCTGAATCGACGGGAGAAGCGCGACCCTCACTATGATGTCGCGATGTCTTGACGGAACGTCCCGGGTTTCCGTTGGAAACGGTTTTTCCCTCATCATTTCTATCATTTGGTTTTTCTCCTGATATTCCATGAGATTGTACGTGACATACTCTTCCCAATCTACAACTCCGTCACAGTTAGCATCCACTTTCATGAACAGAGTTTCTATCTCGTTATCAGTAAGATGGCCTCCCACTGTTTTCTTGATGGCTGCTCTGAACTCATGAGGCTCCAGCCCAGGTTCTTGATCTGTATCAGCCTTCTCAAATATTTCTTGTAATCGCGCATATTTAATCTCGGCCGCGATTTTATCCGGATTAAAATCTTCCCTACTGTGTTTTGAATTCTTTTTTGATTTCTCCAACAGTGAATATGCACTGTCGTCGGCCGTAAGTCGTCGTGAAGATGATCCTTTTGCCGATTGAATTCGTGGCAACTTCAGACCACTCTTGGAGTTTGTATGCGGTACGATGCTTTGTCTAGCGTAGAACCTCGACTCTCTTCTACGTTTCGGATTCAGCTCTGGTGGAAGAACTGACTCCATCGCGTTTCCTTACATCCGGTGACTAGCGTGTTCCCTGTTCAACGTCTCCATTTTGTCTGTTGTCATGGCATGTTTTAATGACGTCTTCAGCTGGATGTATTATGACGTCACAATTGCAATAATGAGTATTTTTGTTGTAAAACAAAGTAAGAGTTGTGTCCTCTTGATTCATTTACAACGTGTTTGTTGTGTGTGACATTTTGTTCATCTAATGTGGTAGTTTTGCTTTGTTGAACTTATTTATATACAATGCATTTGATACATGTAGAAAACGTCATAATTCCATATGCTATCTGCTGATGTTTGCGTGTTTAGATTCTGTAATCGTTATAAGCACTAGCAGTGAAATCTTTTACGTTACATTATTTTCCCTCGTTGGTTCTAATTAATTTCTTTGCTGAACTTTTAATGTTTTCCTGACTTCGTTTTCCGTTACATTCTTACAAAATTCGGCTCACATCCAGAATTTTCCCCAGCACTTCTGTTGGTAACTTTTATATATAATTATCCTTTTATGATAGTTCTAACCATAAGAAGTTAATTTGACAAAAACAAACTTTAAAGCTCATATATGTCCGTGTCCAAACAGAGCAAATAATTTTAAAAAAATCCACATATCAGCTAATACAGTGATCTGTTTCTTTAAATCAACACTTGGCTAGGTGTGCTACTAGGTATTGCAGTTATTCGGACAATTCTATGTCCCTGTCTCACCTAAGTTAACGCCACTGTACCGAAATCGGAACACTTTTTAGATAAATATCAATGTTCTTTATACCATACTATCAGTTCGAAAAATGTTTGTTCATTTTTCATTAATAGATACTATCCACTTTTCATTTCTATCATCACAATTTGATATTTCGGGCGCGAGGTTCTATAAAAAGAACGCGAAATACCATCACAGTTACGTATCTGGCCCTTGAATCGGCGTTAATGTACCCTGAATTAAAGGGCCTGAAAGGGACACTTCTGTTATTTGGGCGAATATTTGGGGATAAACGATCAATATCGGCAGAAAATATGCATAGTTGAAATAGTCAACGAGGGTTCTGATTAAATTTCTTTTCATAGCTAGCATGTTTAGTTTTGATAAAATAGTTATAATACAAATAATAAATAGCGTCGCACGGCACGGCACGTAAATCAGGATTTTTTGGGGAGTAAATTATTCTAATCTTCATATTGTCCATGTCACGATAATCAGTAGTCAAGAAACACCTTAGGCAGCATCTGCTATCTCTATATTTAAATGAGTAATGTTATTCACACAGGTAACTGTCAAAAACTACAAAGTTTTTGTGAACGTGTTGTAACCTTGTACTTTGATGTAATTTTTGTACATATATATATGCTCAATTATATTAAAACTGTATTCCTCAGGGAAAGAATGCTGTGTGTACGAATGAGCAAAGAGTTTATGTGTCAAATAGTTTGTTTATTGTTTTTATCTGTATAATAATTTGATATTATTCACGATACGTTCGTTCAGATATCTAGTCAGCAGGTTAGTCTGATTACCAACTATTCATAAACAATAGTAGCTTTCTGTAATCTTACATAATGTTTATTTTGTCCATGATTTTGTAGTTAGCATAATAATCTGTTTTAATGTCAGTTTACATGTTTGTATGATGTTTGTTAGGGCCATATGGAAGATTAGTCTTGTACTAAATATGTAACCCTCCTTAAATAAAGATATTATTATTATTATTAGGCCTATTACAGTTAAATGTCATTAAAATATTATCAAATGAGGTTACGTTGTACGCTCGCACATTGTGCTCGTAAAAATATAGATTCTCTGTGAGAATAATGACTCTTAATTAAAGAAAAGTCCCCCAATCAGACACATATATTGTCATTCTGACAAAGGGTAATTAGACAGAAAATCTTAAAATTAAGCTATCAAAATTGATGTTGCCGGGACTTCAACTTTTTTGAAACGAGATGTAGCAAGCAGACGACGGAAAACTTCGGGAAATCCCGTGACTGGTTTGTTTTCAAGATGGCCGTCGAAGGCGAAAGCCTCGAGTCGCTTCTTAGTAAGTTGCTTCCTGTTGTCGAAGATTGCCGCTTTATGATCGATTACATTTCAATTTTTATTTGGGCGGGATCATTAGTAACTCGTCGATGATGATTTTGTCAATGAAAGATCATCAGTCGGCAAACCGTACGCACATGTCAGCATATTATGACGTGTGCATGTGCCGGTGGGTCGGGTGGGGGAGGGTCTCAAAATCAAGTTGTAGCAAATGAACATGCCCAGCACTGAATAGTTATATCTGTTAAATGTTTGCTTGTTTAATCTAAGTTAACAAATACTTATTTAGATCACGTGTAAAATTAATGTAACCACCTTTTATACATTAACAAGTATGCAAGCAACCAGAATTGCACTGGTTTTGGATATTATCAACAGAATAAATAATAGGGCCTACACCAAAAAACGCTGATTGCATCGATAAATTATCACTTAGAAAAGCCAAATTTGGGTCTTGTTTCATTAGACGTTCATGTCACAAATTGTGTTGTTTGTCATCACAGGTTTGAGATTAAATCACAATAACGTGACCGTGTTATTTAAATTATTTCATAAATGATCGAATAGGGATTGAACATTTATAGATACATATTAGTGTTCAAATATAGATATTCCCAAATATGTCCTGTTTTTACAATGTCTCTATCGTCAGTGCAAATAGCATGTCTGTAAGTGTAATGTTAGGTTCACTGTTTAATATCTAAACATTTTCATCTTCTATAGTTTCATGCATGATGCAAAACGGCCATATATAAACATGTTATGAACTCCATCCACTTTCCTTGTAGCCTTGTGTTAATGTTATAAACCTATTCTATTTTATGTCATCAGTCTCATCAAGTTGACTTCTTCATGTATACTGAATTTAATCTCTTTTCAGGGTTAGACACTAACTTTTTTTGCTTAGTAGTCCACAGGACTAGTTGAATAGATTATTTACTAGTCCTTCGTCAATGTAACTAGTCCAAGATTTCCTGATAGTGAAACATCGTGATCTCCAGCACGAAACATCAAAAGTAATCGACTGTAGGGGACCTAAAATAACTTACTGCCATAAAAATATGGTAAAGTTTTAGGAAAATTTGGACAGTTATCATGCAATATATCTTATTTTAAGCTATTTTCTAAATTTAAAAAAAGAAATATTCTTATTTTATAAAAAAAAAAAAATCACAAGTCCAAAGGACCAGTTAGGTTAGGTGATTCACTAGTCCTTGCTGAAATCTAATAGTCCAGGACTAGCGGGCTAGTGTTAGTGTGGACCCCTGCTTTTAATTTTGAGGGATGAAATTTCCATGGTGTAATAACTGTAACAAATTCAAAGGGTTTCAATTTTGGGCAATACCTTTGATTGTCAATAGTCCTTTATCTATATAGTTGCAGACAATATCGCATGTATTGATTATTTCAAATGTTCTGAACACGAAAATGCAAGTGACAGTGAAGAAGTGACAATTAACAATGGAAATAATGATTAATTGTCGTTGGCTATATAATATATTTATAATTTTCATTATTCAGACAAAGCGACCAACCCTGCTAGCCGAGATGAAGATTGGGACCATATCATGGCGTTCTGTGACCAGATCAACAAGGAACTGGAGGGGCCACAGATCTCTCTGCCCTTACTGGCTCACAAAATACAGTCCCCACAGGAGCAAGAAGCACTGCTGGCATTGACGGTAAAGTTAGAAAAAGAGCCCAGGGGGGAAAAAATCAAAGCAGACTATTTTTTTACGATGCTTCATTTAATAAATATTGAAATAATTCACGAGGTTATTATCAATCACGTGTTTACGTAGTGTTAGACGCAAGATCAACATGTGAAAGTGAGCCGGGGAAAAAACATGCTGAACAGTAAGCATATGCGATTTGAAAGAAAAAAACTAACAGAACTTACATGGAACGGAGCTTAAAATTGAAAACTACATTTACGTAATAGTATGGGGGAAACTCGCCGATATGTCGAAATGTAAGTTGATCGGCGATTCTTTGGAACAGGAAGAATTTGGCTAAATTTTCTTTGTTACAGTTACCTATTTAATAATACTTTTCACACAAACTCAGGTAACAACACAGTATGTATCAATTGTATCTTTTAATGATGTTTGACATGAATAAATGTGTTGATCGTCGTTTGTCTTTGAGTTCCGTGTACCAAGGGAGATTATCTTGTGTCCAAGATGGCGGTCTGCCAGAATCGTCGATCTTTTCATGAAAAAAAGCCTGATAAATATTTATAGTCGTGGGTCAAAATAAACATTGAATTCCCTTGACACAGGGATTCTTCATGCAAAGTCGGAAAACAAAGAATTTAGTGAGAAACACATACCATATGGGCCTGAATAATTGCACTACATATTTGAATTAACTGAAAACTCTCCTTGCAAATTGACTCAACATTTCAATACAAAGGGTTGCATGAAGTAATTGAAATGTAAGATATCTACAATTATAGGTGTTTGACTTAAAGTGTTCACAGAGTTGCTCCAAAACTGACCTTAATCATAACTGCATGTGGTATAAGATTTCATTGAATATCATCTTAATGATCCTTTTTTTCTTCCAGACTGTTGAAGCCTGTGTAAAAAATTGTGGCAAATTGTTTCATCAAGAACTGGGAAAGTTTCGATTTTTAAATGAAATGATTAAAGTTGTATCACCAAAAGTAAGTAAATCATATTATGTAAAACTTAATTATTTTGCAGTTGAGATTTAATGATAAATATTAATATTTCGACGTTAATCCGTCTAAGGGATTGGATACAGTGTTTTACAACTCTGTACAGCCACTCCCTAATAAGCTCAAACACAATGTTCAGTACAGTAGAAGTATATTTACATTTCCACTGCAAGTTCCTCTACCTAAGAATTTGCATTTATAGGGCTATGAGCTCAATTGGATCAGCGTCATTTTGAAGCTTCTCCTCCCACCTCGAAACATCGAGACAACCACTAAAAGCAAACATTTAGATGACGTTAGGCTGTTCAAGTAATTCTGTTTGCATTGACGACATAAACACTTAAATATCAGAAATATAAGGGAATATTTGTATTCAGGTCAATAATAAATAAAAATTCAGAATGTAAATATAAGGATTGAACGGCAGTTTTCAATGTTCATGCTGGTATGAATGCAAATCGGTTACGTACATATTTACCATGAAGCCCTTCATGGAATATGTAAGTTACCCTTTTTTCTTTTATACCAGTATGACATTGATCTAATTCGTTCAATCCTTGTATACAATTTTGAAATACACCCTGCATTAAATCAAATCTATCATTTATTGCAATTTTATTCTAAGGTAATTAGACTTGTAAGATTCTGTTGCATAATTTGTAAAGTTTTTTTCTATAAAAATTTTAATAAACTTAACGTATTAAGGAAACTTATATCTGGAATATTTACATCAGTTTCAATAATGTATCTTAGATTTGGGCATGGTGGCAAAATTTGCTTGAATCCATCAACTAACTTGACCCTTTCACCATCGTAGACCATAATGGACTCCTCCCCATTAATGCATGGTAGAGTCTACTAAAGTTACCTAGGGGTGAAAGGGTTAACTTACCCTGGTAAGTTGAACGGATGGTCGTTTTATCCAAGTTAATGTATCTTTATCTTTATCTTATCACCAGTAATGTTTGTGTTTTTCCTGTCAGTATTTAGGTAACAGAACCACAATGAAAGTGAAGAAAAGATGTATAGAGCTAATATACAGCTGGAGCAGGGGATTGCCACATGAATCCAAGGTTTTAGAAGCTTACCAAATGTTGAAACAGCAAGGTATCGTCAAGGAAGATCCAACATATCTGGATAAGGTACGGAAAATGTGCGGAGACAATTTTCTGTGTTGATTTGGTCAGGGGTAAAAATGGTTGGGGAAACATCAGAAAAACCAGCCATAGGAACATTCAGAATGGAAATTTGTTTCGTGTTTCTTTTTGTTGTCCGAAAGAAATTTTGTGCTATAGTTGTAATTATAACCAGCTTTACAAGTGATTTTTTTGAATGAATTTTCAGGCTGCTGATGCTGTGGTCCCATCAAAAGCCAGAACAGCATCATTTGAAGATGAGGAGAAATCTAAGGTATTAAATCTAGATATTATAATAATTAGAAAATGTGATGTTGATTTTAATTTCCGGTAGTTTTCACTTTATCCGCTATTAATGGACAAATGCAAAATTCAGGTATTTGCATAAAATATCATATACACATATGTATAAGGTATTTATTTGCCTGTTTCTTATTAAATTTCGTTTTATTCGCAAAAGAAGGATAAATTCATAATAAAATAGAACACAAACTTTTATGATAAGCATGCAGATAAATACACAAAAATTCAGATGCGGAAAGATCTTACAACAACTTTGCAAAAAATTACATTATATGTGAAAAGCCAAAGAAAAGGTATCTTAACAGAACCCTTTTCTATCCATTTAGAAAATAAAATTCCATTGATTTGCATTAAAAAAAGTGGTCCCTTTTTGGTTCAATGTTTGAAGCTGGCTGCATTATTTACTGGGAACAAAGATGGCTGGATTATCTAGGCTCAGCTGTATGTTGAATTAATGTTATGTCATTTTATTTGCAGTTATTATCCAAGTTATTGAAGAGTAAAAATCCTAACGATCTTCAGGCTGCTAACAGACTGATCAAGAATATGGTAAAACAAGTAAGTAATATTTTGTAAACGTCAGTATCATTATTGGTCTGTTACAATCTGAAATATACAGGACCTTAAAACAAAGTCCTATTGCATCTTAATGTTCTGAAATGGGAACACCTGTCAGATCATTTTCATCAGGGCTGTTCCAGATAAAAATGTGTAATATAGGTATTATGATTTTATGTGTAAGAGTGGTGGGCTCTAAAATCTTTTTTTTTACATCTGAAAAAGATATTTACATTCAGTTACAAAAAAATGCCTTTCTGGCCCCGATTATATGATAATTACTTTATATCAGCCAAACAAACAACAGTAATTTTAATAATCAGGTTGGGCTTGAAACTGTAAAAATTTTGTTTTGGAAGAAAATGTAAACACTGAGATTTAGCTTATTCAGATTTGTTGAATTTTGAAAAACCTGTCAAAACGTTTTACTGAAGGTGCAATTTTAAAAATACACGTATAAAAGTTTGAAGCTTCAAAAGTTCTGTTAATCGCTTCAAGATTCCTCATATGCTAATTTATGGCATGTTCTTTGCAGGATGAATCAAGAATGGAGAAAGTTTCGAGGCGTATTAACGAATTGAAAACTATCACCATCAATGTAAAATTATTAAATGAAATGGTGTCTCATTTTAAACCTGAGGCATCGTCACAGTCCGATAGAGATATGATGAAGGTGAGTAAAAATGTTAAAAAAAAATTTAGATTTAGTTCATAAGAACATGTACAGGACAACAGAATCACAATAATGGGTTGATGAAATACAAATGCTCAAGATTCTTAAATACAAAGACAATTTTTTCTACCTTTTAAACACTGAAGAATACCTGAGGTAAAAACTAAAATATTTCAAGTGCAGATTTGTGCGCTTCCTATCAGTTAGATGTCATCTGTTTGTAAAGCTCGACTCTTTGTTACCGTGACGATTTAATCATACACTGTGCTTGATGGCTGAAGTGAGTGTTCTTTCTGGTTACAGGAGCTGTATGAATCTTTAGAGAAGCTACGCCCGAACCTTTTCAGACTAGCTAGTGATGCTGATGAGAAAGATAATGATGGAATCTGTAAGTAATTAAAAAAAGTTTCAATCCGAAAAGTACGGTATGTTGTATTCACAATTTTGTGATTGGGAAACGATTAAAATCTAATTGGGAATGGGGCCGAAATAACTGCCTTATGTAGAGAGAAAAAAATCATGGTTTTCTTTACTTTTAAAGATTAAATAATATTGCTCATTGTTTTATTTTCTAGCGGAGATATTGAGTTGTAATGATGAAGTAATGAAGGCTATGGGCGAGTATAAGAAGACGGTGGAGGGTGTGTCAGAAGACAATAGTGAAACAGCTAAAGGTGAGACTACACCCTTGTTACCAAGAACTATTTCGTTATCTTAAGACCACTTGCTTATATTAGATTAACAAATGTCATTATACTTCCCCCCCAGTCCCTTAAAGTAAGGTGGAAAATCTGAAGCAAAATTGTTTGTCTTAATAATTAAAACAGGACATACCCTAATAGACCCCTTTCAGATTTATAGCAAGATTAACTTTGATTCATAAACCCTGAAATGCACATGTCATTGGGATCAATAATCTTAATATGAAATGACACTGAATGTATTTTCGTGATTGTGCTTCCGTCAACAAAGCATACAGCTTTGTATTAACATTAGTTTTTGTAGTCGTGTAGAAAAGTTCATATTTTTATGTTTCTGGCTTTGTGGTTTGGTCATGGTTCGTACAGCAGTGAAATGGGCTGGTATTGAGGTTAGTTCCCAAAATGTGTACTGGAAAATAAAATTATCCTGTACAAGTACATTGTACTGGAATTTACTCAATATCCCTGGAAAAGAGCTGTATTATATATTGGGAGACTGACTATATATTTGTTTTGGAGGACTGTTTCAAAGCTTTGTGTTGAAAGCACTTGATTGTAAAAAGATCATTGATTGCTTAAAATCTTGTATTTTGTTTTAAAAATTTAGGAAAAACGTGATTTTTTTCTTAAAAGGCTGTATTAACCATGTATAGCCATATACCACTGTAACTTATATCTATAACAAGAATAGTTGATGTTAGTTTTACTTGTATTAAAAAGGAATGACATACAATACCATTTGTTATTTTGGAAGAAATTTTTCTGGTAAATTGTTAGTTTATCATATGTATTGTCAAGCAAATTGTGAAAAAAAAAAAATACATGTATTGTGAAATCATTTGTTTTTGGTGGCATTTTTTGTATCATATCATGAATGTTGAATGGTTTTAACTCATTCACCCCTGAAATTTCATAATGAACTATTCCAACCTTTGAATTGGAAGAGTCCGACTGTGTCTTCAGGGGTGAATGAGTTAATCAAGGGATTTTATAACAAACTTTTGTGAAAGTATGATTGTCAGTAGAATTCAGGATAAACATTACAAGGTATTAAATTACTGATTGATAATCGCTGTATTATAATTTATTGTCACACCAGATGTTGCTTTCAGTTATTTAATATGGTTCATCATGGAAAATCAAATGAATTACATTCATTTTGAAAGAGAAAAAAGGAAAATGCATCATAAAATTAATACATGTCCCTCTTCAGAAGGGGTTTTTGAAAGTCATGAAAATAAGGTGCTATAAAATACATGGTTTCACAGTATTGATTACAAGATAAGGTGTACCTTGGAGGTCCAGGTTTTATGTTTTTCATCTGTAACTATAGATAATATTACTGTTGCATATATATATATATATTCTGACTAACAGCTTCATATAATTATTCAGATGCTTATGGTATATGGGTTTGTTGTCTCTGTATTGTTTTGTATATATGTTCTGACTGATAAGTCAACTGACTTAAAGTAATGAAGAACTTGAATGAATGAAACATGTCAAGGTAATGCATTGCAGTGTAAGATCTACTGTCTGAACTTAGATAGTTTGTAGTTTTAGTGTGCTCTAACACTTTAGTGGCCTGTACTTTGCATAGGACAACAATGTTTATGAATGCATGCAGCGAAATTGTGACATTTTAAATGTACCTGGTACATGTATAGACCTTTCAGATAGTCCGAACAGATGTCTATTCCGTCTTTGCGTATTGCAGAGTTATCTTCTCTTGGGAGCAGGTATTCATTGTTACGTCACTTGTTTGTGAGAGTAACGTCATCAATTTTTGAGAAAACGACGTAATTTTCTCACACAAACCAATGACGTAACAATCAATACCTGCTCCCAAGAGAAGATAACTCTGCAATACGCAAAGACAATAGATATAAAGGGTGATTACTTAATTACAATATTTCAGGTATAAAAAATGAACCTTGTTAGTCCAGACAGTTTCCAAAATAATCTTACTCCCAAATGCAATTGACAAATTTCATTAGTCCAGACAATTTTCCTTAAATTAATGAAATATATATATATTATTTTGAAATGTCAAGTAGTTCTTGAATATAAGCAACTGCATTTTAATCAGTACAGCTAGTTTTCCACCATTTTATGTAACCTGTGTTGTACTTATAGCGTTTCTCTTTAGTGTGTTATAAATATAGATGATGATACTTTAGCACCTTTTTACCTTGACCTATCCCCATGCACCCATTTTAGCCAATACATCAGCCCTGCTTGATCTTGCACTGGACCAGTCCAGTCCATCCCAGCCGATGACCAGTCAGTCCGAAGGCAATGCAGACATTTCCCTCATATTGGATGGCCAGTTTCAGTCTCTAGGTAACTCACTGGTCATTGACAAATGTCTCACACAGTCAATTTAGCATTAAGTTATGGTCGACATTTAGCAGCATTCCTGTTGATCATGGTTGTCTGGAAGACAAGTATCACGATGGCAAGGTTTAAACAATGTTCGTATACTAATTATGCACCTATATTGGTCATGGTTTTCTGAAAGGTAAATATCTCTTTATCACTGAAGCAGGATCCTGTCAATATTTATCGGGTACTGCTTTAATTTTTTGGTCAGGGATATAAACTATCAGTGTTTTACAGTCAAATATTACTACAGGAAGTTGCAGGGATTAAATAACGTCAAAAAGATTTCTTGGAAATTTTTTAAACACAAATTTCTCTTTTAAGTTTTTGCAGGGTTTTTTTATCTTTGGTACCGATTTTCCTGTAAAATACTTGATTTTTTGTTATTATATGCCAAAAAATTGTCCTAAATCAGAAATAGTTGGTAATGATCAAATCTCCAGGAATTGAAGGAGTGAGATTTGCCCTTGGATTCATTATGCTTATAGCATTGAAAGTGTCTCAGTCAAATTTGATCATGTCTAGTGTTCTTGACATTGTTAAAAGCTAGTTGCACATTGGCAAAAAGGAGCCTGCTTTTCTTTAACTTTTAACCCTTTCGCCACTGCAGATCATAATGGACTCGCCCAGATAAATGTGTGGTAGAGTTGACTCAAGTTACATAGGGGTGAAAGGGTTAAGCTATTTTAATCAGAATAAATTGTTTATGATACTGTTATCTGTCAACAGTCGACCAACAACTACTTTTGAAAATCACCTGTTTTGGATACTTAGCAGGAACATACACTAATGGATTTAGGTGAACATTGATAATGAAATATTTTCTCGTAACAATTATGCATGTCTTCGAGGTGCTGGTATAAGCAAATGCAGTTTGCTAAATGGAACAGGGTTTTAATGGTTTAGTTTGGTGTTTGGTTAAAAAAACCTTTTTCCAAAGTCTAAATACTCCGGCACTGTAGATGGGAGAACTTGCGCATTGTGATGGTCATTTTGAACCCATTTAATGTTATGAGAACTGGATGTCATTTACAGGTTTACAAGATCCTCAGCCGTCTGACAGATCTGACTCATTACTGGCAGATCTTAACGACATATTTGGAGCAACATCTCAAACATCTAGTGTGGTAAGTAGATGCACAAAACTAAGATTAAACCTACACATTCATGTATTCATTTAACATAGATTGAGAAAACAGTCGTTGGTTTTGCCATACTGTATATATATACTGTATGGTATTTACCACACTTTTGCTCTTTTTGCCCTCTGTAATGAGGCTGAATTTATCGGGGTGGCAAATAATTTGATACAATTTATGATTCAAGGTTTTCCCCACTATGAAGGACGCTATCATCACTATTAACCTATCAAGGATGCATCTTTAACTGGGCAAACACATGCCGGTATATAGTATGTTATCAGAATTAAACTTGTCTAAACCAAACATTTTGTAGACTGATATTTCTGCTCGGAGCAGATCTAGAGAGGTTTGGGAATAACACGGGATCATTATCCATAAGGATATAGGTCCAAAAGACACAGGTACACAGAAGTAACACAAGTTTGATGGGAGCCTGAAGGACATACTCACAATATATATCTGATGGTTGCTGAAAATTTCAGTTTTGATCGTATGAAGTTTTTAACGGAATGAGATTACCTGAAATGATAACTTCTTTCTTCTTGCAACAGACATCTGGTATGGCGTTACCCACCAGTAACATGAGCCAGCCTGTAAATCCGGGCCTCCAGATGGGGGGCCCAGGGATGATGCTGACTAACCCCCAAGGCCCCGTCATGGCACAACTACCGACACAGCCACAGGGACCGGCCGTGCTGCAGGCTAATCAGGCCACGACCAGCATGTTCTCCTCTCCCTCCCTGCTATCTCAGCACCCCTCACAGATGACAAGTCCCATGACCATGGGGGCAGGTCAAGGTAAGTTGCTCCCCCTGTAGATTTGCTCTTCAGATTTGCCATGGTGTCAGTCAGGGTTAGTTTCTTATCTGGAGGGATTGACACGGGATATCACAATGAGGGCAAGTCAGGCCAAGTTTTGACACCTATGGATGTTGAGTATCTACCTTAGGTGCAGTTCAGGTTATGCGTCTTCATTCTTTTGGATTTATGAAGAAGGTTTGTATGGTAGCAACATCTTGTCAGGATAATCTCTTCGTTCGTAGGATTAGGTTAGGGGATCACCACAGGTGAATATCATGGTACGTTATGTCTCAACACCCTAAGGATTTGGCTAAATGGGTTCCCATGGCAGCAGCTGCAGGTCAAGGTTATCTCTTCACCTACATAATGTATGGCATTGGGTTAGGTGTCACCATGGTGGCAGATCAGCATAAGAAATCTTAACCCACTTCTTGGTCTGGAGATGCTTATAAACTATTGTTCTTAAGAAAAAGAGGACTTCATTTCCAGTTTCCATTGAAGTTGTAATTTTCATCCTCCCGAGTTTAATATCCACTCTATAACTATTTAAGTATATTTTTAAGGAAAATTTCATTAAGGGGAGAGAAATGTGTGTAAATACACCATTTCATTGTAAATAGTGTAATTTTAAGAAGAGCAATTTTTTTAAGGGATTACTGTAATTGTAATTAACAGTTCTCGCCACACCTGTGCTCACTGACCATGTGCAGTAAAACTGTTTCTGTATACTGCCACTGATTATCCATGAACATTGGCATAATAAAGGGATTTGGCTTTATATGTAGGGTACCATATAAAAGAATGGTGAAGAATAAAGGGAAGAACAGGACATTGAATTACATTGGCAGTGAGTTAGAAACAATACTATGAACATAATAGAAATTGTGTTAATAAAACCGTGTTGTTTTGTATAGGTACTTTACCAGCTGTAAATGTGAACGCCTCAGCCCAGGTTTTGAACACTCTCGCCTCCAAAGGAATGGCCGACCTGGACCTGCTCGGACAAGATCTGATGCAGCAGAGTCTACCTAAAGAGGCTAAAATTATACCACAAGAAGTTGTGTATGTCACCCCCTTTACACACAAGTTGACCTCGGCTAGATAATAATGTTAATGTTTTGGTGCTTTTATTTCATTTTGTTGTCGTTAATGTGTTACACAATACCAGCAGAATTAGGACTGTTTTATATGCTTTGTAACTTAGTGGAAGGACCATTTGTTTGCCTTCTCCCACGGTCAATCCATCTATCCATAGCACATCTTGGTTAGATCTAGCATTTAGCACCATTACTCCGCTACTGGAAGTCAGTCACGAAATTTCATGTGGGTATTTTCACACTCTATTACTGAAAGTCTAGTCATGAAATTTCATGTGTGGATATATATATATACACGTACTAAGACATCTTGAGAAGTACTGCCCCAATATCTCAAATATAGGTCACTGTGACCTATATATTTCTGCTTCACTGATTTTGGTTAAGTTTAGCTCCATTTTCATCAAAATGGGAGTAGCATATGTATGATTCACAAATCTTTTCTAGTTGTTAAAGATTTCATGTATGAAGAACTATGACTGTATTATCTGTATTTTTAATATTTTTGACAGACCTCAACCAAAGTTGACATTAAACCAAATAGCATCCAAAGGTACAACTGGGACAAACAATACCGCGGCTAACTACAGCCAGTTCGGGTTATCCAGCCAACCAGCCTCCGTCAACACCACGGCAACCATTCCAACCTTTCCCCCAGTCCCCCAGGTGTCCCCTGCCAAAATTACCTCCCAGGAAATACTCTCTCTAGCCGATATATTTGTACCTTTGGAGAAGATACAGCCAAGTAAGTGATAAATATACTTATATGGTCGTACATGTCTGGGGACTTTCATTATATTCCAGCGGTTTTAACAAAGACATCATTTTTCCTCTAATTTTGCCTTTAATTTCAATAGAACAAGGGTCATGTGTATATGTTGATGTGAAGATCAGCTTTGTGAAACTTTCTCTCAGTTCATATTAATTGTTATTATAGGTTCATTGGCTCCTGTGAATGCGTACGATAAAAACGGCCTGAAGATGGTGATACACTGCGGGAAGGATCGCCCGCGGGATGATGTATCTGTGATGGTGGTGTCTGTTATCAGTACCAATACAAACCCGGTGAAAAACTTCAGCTTCCAAGCAGCTGTACCAAAGGTCAGAACTAGCACTTTTATTACAGCTGTACCAAAGGTCAGGACTAGTACTTTCATTACAGCTGTACCAAAGGTCAGAACTAGTACTTTTATTACAGCTGTACCAAAGGTCAGGACTAGTACTTTTATTACAGCCGTACCAAAGGTCAGAACTAGTACTTTTATTACAGCTGTACCACAGGTCAGGACTCATACTTTTACTACAGCTGTACCAAAGGTCAGGACTAGTACTTTTATTACAGCCGTACCAAAGGTCAGAACTAGTACTTTTATTACAGCTGTACGAAAGGTCAGAACTAGTACTTTTATTACAGCTGTACCACAGGTCAGGACTCATACTTTTATTACAGCTGTACCAAAGGTCAGGACTAGTACTTTTATTACAGCCGTACCAAAGGTCAGAACTAGTACTTTTATTACAGCTGTACCACAGGTCAGAACTAGTACTTTCATTACAGCTGTACCAAAGGCCAGAACTAGAACTTTTATTACAGCTGTACCAAAGGCCAGAACTAGAACTTTTATTACAGCTGTACCACAGGTCAGAACTAGTACTTTCATTACAGATGTACCAAAGGTCAGAACTAGTACTTTCATTACAGATGTACCAAAGGTCAGAACTAGTACTTTCATTACAGCTGTACCAAAGGCCAGAACTAGAACTTTTATTACAGCTGTACCACAGGTCAGAACTATTACTTTCATTACAGCTGTACCAAAGGTCAGAAATAGTACTTTTATTACAGCTGTACCAAAGGTCAGAACTAGTACTTTTATTTACAGCTGTACCACAGGTCAGAACTAGTACTTTCATTACAGCTGTACCAAAGGTCAGAACTAGTACTTTTATTTACAGCTGTACCACAGGTCAGAACTATTACTTTCATTACAGCTGTACCAAAGGTCAGAACCAGTACTTTTATTACAGCTGTACGAAAGATCAGAACTAGTACTTTTATTACAACTGTACGAAAGGTCAGAACTAGTACTTTTATTACAGCTGTACCAACGGTCAGAACAAGTGCTTTTATTACAGCTGTACCAAAGGTCAGAACTAGTACTTTTATTACAGCTGTACCAAGGTCAGAACTAGTACTTTTATTACGCCTGTTCGCAATTTTTTTTATGCCTGTTCGCAAATTTCACCACATTATGCAGAAACAGATTTAACATTTTCCACACTTCATGGTTGTAATGTGCAATATACTACCGTAATAATTAAAACAGCTGGTAAATCAATCATGCAGATGATTAAATATTATGAAAATATTAATTTTGACCAACAGGTGATGAAAGTAAAACTGCAGCCACCCTCGGCCACTGACCTTCCAGCCTACAACCCTATCCTGCCCCCGGCAGCCATTACTCAAGTCATGCTCTTTGCAAATCCACACAAGGTAATGATTCAATTTTGTTTGATATATCACACATTGTTCTGTTAATCGGTTAATAATGCAAGCAGATGTATTTATGTCCTGGACTCCAATTTGTATTTTATCTTCTGACAGCTTTTAATTCTTCATCATACAAATTCTGTATTTCTAGGTCAAAGGTCAGTCAAAGATGGGGTGAAGATGTGAATAAAGGCATTTTGCAACGGATAAAATATTTCTTATGGGCAAAAATATTTCAAGGGCACTTGACTTAAAAAATAAACCACATTTTACTACAGTTAAAAAAACCTTCCACTGCTTTACCTATAGATCCTTCATCTTCTCAATAACTCTCATTTTTCAGGAAAATATTCGGTTAAAATTCAAGATAACGTATGTGGCAGGCGTGGAGACACATTCTGACGTAGGGGAGGTGGACACGTTTCCAATCCAGTGAGAATAATGTAAGGCAATGAAGACCACTACAGCCGTCTAGATTGTATGATGTCAGTGTGGCCGCGACAATAAATTACTACACTAGAAGGCCAGGCTGGAAAGGAAACACTACAGGTGTCTAGATTGTATGATGTCAGTGTGTCCGCGACAATAAATTACTACACTAGCAGGCCAGGCTGGAAAGGAAACACTACAGTTGTCTCGATTGTATGATGTCAGTGTGGCCGCGACAATAAATTACTACACTAGTAGGCCAGGCTGGAAAGGACACACTGCAGTCTGAACACAACAACTAATTAACAATCTAGAAAAGATGCAAACCGAACTGAACTTGTCATCCGTTTCGCTTTAATACGTATAGTGTATGGCTGATTCAACTACATCCCAATTGGTTACTGTATGCACTTGCTATAATTGGTCGAACAGACAAGAATTTGACGATAAAGCAATGCGGCCCGTGGCCTGTTCAGCCCATCAGGAAACTGAAGTGGACAATGTACTGATTGAATGTGAATGGATAAAATAAATATTAACGCAACTGTAAGTTGTGAATCTGACCAGTCAAATTGAACAGAATTACATTTGATTGGTCAGTGAATCTGACCGGTCAAATTGAACAGAATTACATTTGATTGGTCACAGACCAAAGTACGGCTTGGAATATATATGTACATTATGAAAAATGAGTCGTTTGGGGAGAGAGGGGGGGGGGGTATGGAAGGGTGAAACCAGTGCTTGCTCAGATCAAACAAACCACCCCGCTGAATGTGGTATTAGACAGTACTGTTTGCATGTGCTGTTCTGTGTAAATAAAAAGTGCTAGTTTATCGGTGAAATCCCAATAGTTTGTTTATGGTAATACACCATTACATGATAAATCTTCGCTAGTTTTTAACAATTGAATGAATTCTTCTGTACCGCTCAAGACTACAGAAACTGGCATATTTTTTCCCACAATTTATTTCCACCTCCTTTTCATCCTTCAACAAGACGGTAAATTTTAAATAGTTAGCAGTTCTAGATATTAAGCATACATGAACAATTCCAAAATTGGGCAAATATGTTTAAAAAAAAACTGAAGGTGAAAACATGGCTTGGTGAAAGTATCACAACTTGTTGTGGAAGTTTTTTTTAACATAATCACAATACAAATGTGGATTTTGTTTTTTGGTTTTGGTCCAGAGGTAGATTTTTTTAATGATAGTCTACAAGCTTGTTTCTTTGTGAAAAGCCCCATTTTCTCATTTACAAAATGTAGTTTATAAACATAATACTGCTTTAGAAGGATGGCTTTTCTTTAATTTCCTGTTGTGCCTAGATTAAATTTCTTAACCTATAGAAGGAAAGCAAAATACTTTGTTGAAATTCTTGTCCATCCGTGAGATTGCTGGTAATGATAACAGCATGTATTCGAGAGAATTTTTCTGTCCTAATCTGTTGGCGAATATTTTGCCTTTATTTGAGAACAAGCTGAAGACCTCAGCAGTTCTTTACATCATACAGAGTATAAGGAAATATTTTATGAAAATATTTTCCATTTAGTTATTTCTGGAGAAAAACTGGATCATATAATGGCAGGTAGTTTTGATTTGAAAATAACTGGCATTAAACTGAAAATAGATGGAAAAGGACAACTAAAGTTAAAACTAAACTATCCAACTTAAAAAAAAGTTGAAAATAAATGTCTGAGGTAAAAAGCTGTCACGACCACCAAAGTGTCACTCTTCGTACTGCAGTGATGGTTTAACCAAGAAGACATCCCTGCCTCCTGGTCTTTGTAACTCCATATGTAATATACTGCAGGGTTTTTCTTTCCGAAGTTTCTGATTTCGGAGTGATACTTGCTATTAAGTAGTGTAAAATAGTTGTGATTTTCAAACTACATTTCAAACCTTGCTATAAACGTCCACCAATAGTAATAGCTATAGATCTAGAGATTGTCTGTATAGCCAGGCTGATTCTAGTCCGAAGAGTTAGGTTTGTGTTTATAACCTTTTCAGCTTGAATGAATCTGTCACGGCCAGGGATAACACAATTTTTGAAAATTATAAATATTTCAGATGGTCCTTTCCAGTTTGCCATGGATTGGATCTTTGGATTGGAAATATTTAATGGTTTTGAACTTATCATCAGTTCTAAAAATATTTCCATAAGATTTTTTCATCCCATTTTCATATTAATTCGGTTTATTTTGGGTATTTGTAGATAAATGATATGCTACACCTAGACTTGAGGAAATGTATTGAACAAAACCACAGACTAGGGGCCTGTTCTTTTATGCTGACCAACCGATTTGTCTGTTTTTAAATGTAACATTTTCTGGTATTAATCCGGGCAGACATGCATATGTTTATGCAAGACTTTGTCATGGCTCGAATGAAAGCAGCATCAGATTCTAGGTCCGACCTTATTTCATAAACGAATAACTTGTGTCCAACTGGACCAGACGTTTGGATCGCGATAAACGAAAGCGGCCCAGGTGCCTCATTATAATGGTCATAAATTAGTACGCAGTCGAGCTTTGGTTATCCAGTCACCTACAGCTTGACTTCAGGATATTCTCTTGCTTTTTTCCAAATTACCTCTGTACAGTAAATCCCTTCGTTTAACAAATGCTTTTCATTGCAATTGAGATGGTGCTATTTCAATATTAATAGTTCTATATCTACTGTATTAATATTAGTGAGATGTTTAATTGGCAAATGCATCTCCAGGCAAACAAACACGAAAATAAATCTCTTGCGAAAATACAGTAATTAACAGCTATCTGTCGTCTAGTTAGCTGGGAACAAAAGTGGCTGCAATAATATAGGTCTATTGTGTATACCAGTGTTTTACAACCATCATATGTTGATGTGTCTGGGCCCCTGTGATTAAAACTAATATAAACGGTAGTAGTTGGCCAAGTGGTAAGAAATGTTGTTTTACGCCGCCGACAGAAGTTGTACATATATTTATGAGAACAAATAGGGAGTTGGTTGATGATGTTTAATCTCAGATGTATTATAATGCTGTATTATCTGTTATTTAAAAGTCATTGGGGACAGAGTGAAGTTAGAGAAACGTCGATCTATCATCATTATAAGTCACAAGCCGTTGGAGGGATCATTATGAAAACAGGCCTTGTGTAAACATAGAGGGAATTGAAGAATGGATGTGGATCGAAAGTAGTGAGATTTTGTTTTCAAGTGCAATATGTGTAAAAATGATTAGCAGTTAACCTTATTTATTTTATAACTATTTCATATGGGAGGAAACCCAAGTACATGAACTTGGTGAAAACTGGCATGGTCAGACAGTGACCCAATACCGAGGTCGTTGCCCCATACTGAGATCATCTTGGTGAAAAGAAAGTACTCCAAACACTGTGTCACCTGACCACCCAAAAAATCAATTTGTAGCAACAGGAATGTAGTATATTGATCTAGTATTAGTGTGAGGGTTTTCCATCTTTTTATTGAACACATTAGAATATATGCTTTTGATAATCATTTAGATATCGCCATTATTGAATTAAAAAGTTCTACATTAAGTTGTAAGTTTTTTGTTATACAAGCAGGTGAATTACATGTGGGGAAAGTTTCATTGATCGCATTTTCTGCGAAAACCAAACCAAGTATTTCAATCATTATAAAAATAAAATATACGAAGAGCAAAAATTATAGTTACCTATCTTTAGCAGTGTATTATGTAATGGAAGAATGATTCTCATAAAATTTGTGATAGACTGCAGTGATACAAAACAGGAAAAAAACCTTATAATCAGAACTGTGTTTTGGTGAGAAAGTGATGTATTTGAATGTGAAGTTATGTATGTTATTATTGATATAAGAAACATCTGTTTCACAATAAATGTGTACATTTAATCTTCTTTGTCTTCTGTGGTTTTTATATACCCATTAAAATATTTACAGTGTGTGTTATGGTATGGGAAGTCTTCCGTGGTTTACTGAAGGTTTCTGAAGGCGATGACGTCCTGCGTCCGTCCGTCAACTTTTTAGCTTAACTGGCCCGAAGGGCCAAGTTAGCTTATGGCATGGTGCGGCGTCCGTCACCCGTCGGTCCATCGTCAACATTTTACTTTTAAACAACTTCTTCTCAGTAACCAAAAGGCCTAGGGTGATGATATTTGGCCTGTAACATGCAGGGATAAAGGGCTACCACGTTTGTTCAAATACATGACCTTGACTTATATTCTAGGTCACAGATATCAAATATGTTTAAAACATTTAAACAACATCTTCTGAATAACCAAGAGGCCTAGGGTGATGATATTTGGCCAGAAGCATGCTGGGATGAAGGGCTACCAAGTTTGTTCAAATACATGACCTTGACTTATATTCTAGGTCACAGATATCAAATCTGTTTAAAACATTTAAACAACATCTTCTGAATAACCAAGAGGCCTAGGGGGCTTAAATTTGTCCAGTAACATGCTGGGATGAAGGGCTACCAAGTTTGTTCAAATAAATGAGCTTCATCCATTTTCAAGGTCACAGGGGTCAAATATGTTTAAAACCTTTAAACAACTTCTTCTGAATAACCAAAATGCCCAGGGTGATGATATTTGGCCAGTAGCATGCTGGGATGAGGGGCTACCAAGTTTGTTCAAATGAATGACCTTGACCAACTTTCAAGGTCCCAGGTGTCAAATGTCCTAAAATCTTCAATCAACTTCTTCTCAATAACCAAAAGGCCCAGGGTACTGATATTTGGCCTGTAGCAATCAGGGCTACCAAATTTGTTCAAATGAATGACCTTGACCCTCTTTCAACCTAATGTCATTGTTTGACATTCAAGGTCACACTGATATTCTGCCTGTAGCTGTATTTTAGTCCACTTTTAAGATTACAAGTGTGAGATTAATACCAGGGGAGCGATGCAGGCCCATTGGGCCTCTTGTTCAGGACTTCTTCTGAAGAACTGTAGGACCTAGGGTCATGATATTTTGCCAGTAAGTACCTGGTATGGAGTGCTATAAAGTTTCCTCATTAAAATGACCTTGACCTACTTTCAAGGTCACAGTGGTCAAATATGTGAAAAATTTCAAACAATAATATCCTAAGAACCTTTTGTATTAGAGTCATGATACTTAGGTATGTTATGTTGACCAGCAGTGCGAATATTTTTTCTAGATTACAGTAATGAGGTCAAAGGTCAACTTTAAATGCATGTCGGGGGTCAAATGTCAACTTTGGTTAAAAGCTTTAACAATCTTCTTCTCAAGTTCCATAAGACCCAGGGTCATGATATTTTGCCAGTAGGTACCTGGGATGTAGTGCTATAAAGTTTCCTCATTAAAATGACCTTGACCTACTTTCAAGGTAACAGCGGTCAAATATGTGGAAAATTTCAAACAACAATATCTTAAGAACCATTTGGACTAGTCATGATACTTGGGTATGTTATGTAGACCAGCTGTGTGATTTTTTTTTTTTATTACAGTAATGAGGTCAAAGGTCAACTTTAAGTGCAAGTCAGGAGTCAAAGGTCAATATGGGTTAAAAGCTTTGAAATAAAAATTTCAAGTTTCAAACAACAATATCTTCAGAACTGTTTAAGAAATGTTAAAATGTCTTGTGTTCTAGTTACCAAATTTGGTCTTAAGTTACCTATATGTTAGTTGCATGTAACAGAAGAAACAGGTGAACGATACAGGCCCTCTGGGCCTCTTGTTTAAGTTTTGAATTTAAGGTTAAATATTTAACTTATGTTTTTTTATTCAGAAGTAAAATTACGAGACTATAGAAGCCAATTGGTGGAAGTCGTTGACAATGGATTGGGTGTGGAGGAGAATGATTTTGAAGGACTCAGTAAGTTAGCTATAGATTTAGGGTAATAGTTCAAAACAGTCATCAAATTCTATTTTACTGTTCATCATGTTTTTATTATATATTGTCAGATTGATGCTTTTGTATCGATATAATAAAACAGTTAAAGTATGGTTATTTCGGGATATAGCAAGTTTCTGGTTCCCCTTGACCAGGCCTATTTCCCTCGACTTCGCCTCGGGTCATAGCCCTGGTCGAGGGAACCAGAAACTGACTATATCCCTCATAACAATACTTTAACTGTATAATAATATTGCAGCTAAAATAGACTGTTCTTGTAGAAATGTTTGATACTCCTATGTAACAGAAACAATAATATATTTTGTTTATCTTGTTCCCAGCGTTGAAGCATCACACCTCCAAACTGCAGGACTTTTCTGACCTTGTAGGCATTGACACTTTTGGATTTAGATGAGAAGCTTTGAGCTCTTTGTGTGCGTTAAGGTGGGTAGGGTAATGTTTCTATCAGGGAAAGTATCAATGAAAAACTTACATATTTCAAAATTAAGTTATGAATATTTGGGTTGTACTTAAGATGTATTTTTGGGTGTATTTTATTTTGCAGAGTTTAGAAGAGCAAAATAAATAGAATAGTATCTTTATGATGTTGGGAAATTTAAGAAATAATGAAGATATTAGTCAACGTGAGCCTTGTCATTCACGCGCCAATTTTTTTTTTATCAAATCTGCTCTAAGTTTGTCACCAAAAACCATCATTTCAGAATAAAACAAAGAGATTTTCTGACAATGATAAAAACAAAAATCAAACTCATCCTTAAAAATCTGTATATAACTGTAAGAGAAGGGAGATAAATGTTTTCTAAATACAGAGTTGTCTCCCTTCCTTTAAAGATGACATGTTGTGTTTGATGTTTCTTTGTGTCCTGACAGTAGACTGACTGTAGTGACCAGACACTCAAGTTCAGATGTAGGGACGAAATTGGAGTTTGACCACAATGACAGAATTTCATAGAAGACAGCTCAGGCCAGACATGTAGGTACTGGTCAATGTGGACAGCTCAGGACAGACATGTAGGTACTGGTCAATGTGGACAGATCAGGACAGACAGGTAGGTACTGGTCAATGTGGACAGATCAGGACAGACAGGTAGGTACTGGTCAGTGTGGACAGATCAGACCAGACATGTAGGTACTGGTCAGTGTGGACAGCTCAGGCCATACATGTAGGTACTGGTCATTGTGGACAGATCAGACAAGACATGTAGGTAATGGTCAATGTGGACAGATCAGACCAGACAGGTAGGTACTGGTCAATGTGGACAGCTCAGGCCAGACATGAAGGTACCGGTCAATGTGAACAGGCTTGACAGGTAGGTACTGGTCAGTCTGGAGTGCTCAGGCCAGACAGCTAGGTACTGGTCAGGTCAGTATGGACAGCTCAGGCTAGACAGGTAGGTACTGGTCAGTATGGACGGCTCAGGCCAGACAAGTAGGTAATGGTCAGTGTGGACAGCTCAGGCCAGACAGGCAGGTACAGGTCAGTGAGGACAGGCCAGTCAGGTAGGTACTGGTCAGTGTGGACAGGCCAGACAGGTATGTACTGGACATTTCAGACTGCTAACGAACCCTGTAGAACTCTACTAAGACTGTACCGACTATCACAATGTACCACCTGTTGCCTTTGACCTTTTCTGCACATTTTTCTGAACTAAATATAAGGACTTGTTTATGTTAAGTTATACCTCAATACATATACATGCTCTTTTGATTATTTGTTGGAAATATCAAATGTTAAACATATCAGACTACACAGAAATGTAACAAACGTTATCTACTCACTCGGGTTCGACTGACGCTTTCGCTTGCAGGTTCCATGGATTTTAAATAAAGTAAGAAATAGTAGAGAGGAAGCAGAGATTTGTGACAAAAACAACTTAGGCAGATATAGACTTTACACTTTTATTATACGACTACATTCAAACTTAACAATAACACGGCATGTGGCGGCAAGTGGGTTTCTAAGTTTCCACCACAATTCGGTGAAATATAGAGTACAACATGACCCTGTGTAAAGTTCGTACGCACTCCACATTCGAGTGAGACACATTGTAACGAATTGTAAAGCTATCCACGAGATAATTCCAACACGTGCGCGAGAACATACGGCTATCACTTCCACTCAATAGCTTTCCCATTAACCCTTCTATGTTTGCTACATTCCTTCATGTGAGCAATAGGAACCTACCGCTCATAGAAACCATCACAGACGAGGGGGCTATAGGATAGACCACAGACGAGGGGGCTATAGGATAGACGACGGACGGTTGATGGATCACAGACGGGGGGGCTATAGGATAGACGGCGGACGGTTGATAGTCCACAGACGGGGGGGCTTTAGGATAGACGACGGACGGGGGGGCTATAGGAGAGACGTCGGACGAGGGGGCTATAGGATAGACCAAGGACGAGGGGGCTATAGGATAGACGACGGATGGTTGATAGACCACAGACGAGGCGGCTATAGGATAGACGGCGGATGGTTGATGGACCACAGACGAGGGGGCTATAGGAGAGACCACAGACGAGGGGGCTATAGGAAAGACGGCGGATGGTTGATAGACCACGGACGAGGGGGCTATATGATAGACGACGGACGAGGGGGCTATAGGAAAGACCACGGACGAGGGGCCTATAGGATAGACCACAGACGAGGGGTCTATAGGATAGACCACAGACGAGGGGTCTATAGGATAGACCACAGACGAGGGGTCTATAGGATAGACGGCGGATGGTTGATGGACCACAGACGAGGGGGCTATAGGAAAGACGGCGGATGGTTGATAGACCACGGACGAGGGGGCTATATGATAGACGACGGACGGTTGATGGATCACAGACGGGGGGGCTATAGGATAGCCGACGGACGAGGGGGCTATAGGATAGCCCACGAACGAGGGGGCTATAGGATAGACCACTGACGAGGGGGCTATAGGATAGACGACGGATGGTTGATAGACCACAGACGAGGGGGATATAGGATAGACGGCGGACGGTTGATGGATCACAGACGAGGGGTCTATAGGATAGACGGCGGATGGTTGATTGACCACAGACGAGGGGGCTATAAGATAGACGGCGGATGGTTGATAGAACGGCGACGAGGGGGCTATAGGATAGACGGGGGACGGTTGAGAGACCACAGACGGGGGGGCTATAGGATAGACGGCGGATGCTTGATAGACAACAGGCGAGGGGGCTATAGGATAGACGGCGGACGGGTGATAGACCACAGACGGGGGGGCTATAGGGTAGACGACGGACGGTTGATGGATCACAGACGAGGGGTCTATAGGATAGACGGCGGATGGTTGATTGACCACAGACGAGGGGGCTATAGGAGAGACCACAGACGAGGGGGCTATAAGATAGACGGCGGATGGTTGATAGAACGGCGACGAGGGGGCTATAGGATAGACGGGGGACGGTTGAGAGACCACAGACGGGGGGGCTATAGGGTAGACGACGGACGGTTGATGGATCACAGACGGGGGGGCTATAGGATAGACGGCGGATGCTTGATAGACAACAGGCGAGGGGGCTATAGGATAGACGGCGGATGGGGGATAGACCACAGACGAGGGGGCTATAGGAAAGACGACGGACGAGGGGGCTATAGGATCGACCACAGACGAGGGGGCTATAGGATAGGCCACGGACGAGGGGGCTATAGGATAGAACACAGACGAGGGGGCTATAGGATAGAACACAGACGAGGGGGCTATAGGATAGACCAAGGACGAGGGGGCTATAGGATAGACGGGGGACGGTTGAGAGACCACAGACGGGGGGGCTATAGGATAGACGACGGACGGTTGATGGATCACAGACGAGGGGGCTATAGGATAGACGGCGGATGGTTGATAGACCACAGACGAGGGTGCGATTGGAACAGCCTACCATCTGATGATGGCGAGATAAAAACCAAAGCAAAATTAAACAAGAGGCCCAGAGGACCTGTATCGCTCACCTGGATATCTAAGCAATCATGGCAAAATATTCTCCAAATGAGATCAACGGGGAATATGCCAGACCCCAAGGCTTGTAGCATATCTGTATTTGATATTTTATGCCCAGCAATTTTATGTATGGTTATGGGGTGGGGATCTCAACTGTTTCCAAGCTGTGACTCAGAAACTAGGTCCCTAGGGTTGTGGCCAGACCCCAGGATCAATTCTAATATCACGACTGCATTTGTCTCTTTTTGCCCAGCATTTGTATATATAGTTTTGGGGTGGGGATCTTAACCGTTTCAAAGTTGTGACCCAGGGGTTAAGTCTCAAAGGGTGGGGCCAGAGGGAGGAGGGATGTCAGCCCCATCATTTGTACAATTTTGAATCCCTGCCTCCCATGATTGCTTCTGACCAAATATGATCAATATCCATGGTATAGTTCTACGGAAGAAGTCGTTTATAGCAATATAGCCAAATTGCCCCCTTTTGGCCCAGCCCTCAGCCCCCTGGGGGGTCAGCCCCGCCATTTGTACAATTTTGAATCCCCACCACCTAGGGATGCTTCCAGTCAAATATGGTTGATATCTATTTCTTAGTTCCAGAGAAGAAGTCGCTTAAAGTAATATAGCTAAATGACCCTTTTCGGCCCCGCCCGTCAGCCGCCACGGGGGTCAGCCACACCATTTGTACAATTTTGAATCCCTGCCTCCCATGAATGCTTCTGATTAAATATGATTGATATCCAGTGCATAGTTCTACAGAATAAGTCGTTTGAAAGAACTTAGTTTCAATGATGTTTCAAACAAAAAGATGAATTGATAGTCTAATTGATTTAAAAATCACAGTTGTATTACATTTTGTTATTTTTTCTTTAAATTCTGCTCTCTTATCGGTCAATTCAATTCCACTGTGAAAAACAACACTTTAAAGTGTGCGAGTAAAATGTTCACTAATTACAATTCACTGGTAAACAACTTAAAAAAATATCAGCACTAAGATAACAAAAGTTAGCTATGAATTCCATTGTTCTGCTGGAAAAAATGAAAAATGTAATCGCGTATATTTAATTATTTGGTTGCTTGGGTCCTTTAAGTGTGATGAACATACTATTTACAAGTCTAGATACTTGTACTCATGATTGCCTCCCCTTACCAATTAATGTGAAAATATGAATCACAGGAAATATCAGTGGATTACAGTAACATTGATGTAAAATAGAACAAAGCATTTACAATGGTAACAATAACAAGAGGCCCAATAGGCCTGCATCGCTCACCTGGTAAAAATCTCACACGTGTAACCTTAAAAGTGATCTAAAATAAAGCTACAGGCAAAATATCAGTATTTATGATTAAAATTCATTCAAAAGAACCTGTTAATTTTTTTTAAAACATTTCACCCCTATTATTGAAAGTCGAACAAAGTCATTATGTTGAACAAATTTTATAGCCTTTCATCTCAGGATGCAACTTGCAAAGTATCAACATCCTGGGACCCATGGTTATTCAGAAGAGGTTGTTTAAAGATTTTAAACAAATTTGACCCCTGTGACCTTGAATATAAGTCAAAGTCATTCACTTTAACAAACATAGTAGTCCTTGATCCCAGCATGCTACTGACTAAATATCAACATCCTGAGCCTTTTGGTTATTCAGAACAAGTTGTTTAAATATTTTGAACATATTTGCTCCTTGTGACCTTGAATATGATTCAAGGTCATACATTTAAACAAACTTGGTAGCCCTTGATCCTAGTATGCTACTGACTAAATATCATCACCCTGGGCATTTTGGTTATTCAGAAG